ACAGTCAGATGACAGACAACCAGCGTCACCCGACTCCCAGTGTCATCTGATCGGTTGGTCTGCAGAGAAACGACAGTGATAGTAACAGTGAGGTGTGTGACCGACGTCCGACATCCACCGCCGATCTTTTGTTGAAATTTAAAACAATAAGCAAATTATTTGGCTCGCAAATTTCTGATACCATCAACTTCCTTCGATTCATGGGATAGAAAAATGTGAAGCATTCAGCAGTCAGCACTGAGGGTGTTATATCTTACATCAACATCGATGCCGGGCATGTCAGGGTAGACGAGCTTGGCCGGGTTGTTTTTGGGCATGTATCTGTAGAACTCGACGTCATCCTTGTACCACTTGACCGAGTAGAGGCTGTCACCCTCGAGATCATAGTCGCACAGCAGCGTGGTCTCCTCACCGACCTGCTTGTAGACGGGGATGTTGGAGTTCACCATGCGCAGTGGCTCGCCGGCTGGAACACACAGACACGCCAGTGAGGGCCTGGCCACTAGATGCGGGTAAAATATTCAGACACACAAGTAAGGGTCTGGTTAACGCTGAGGACGACATTACAGACACGGAAGACGGAGCTGGTCCTACTTGCGAGTTGCGCAGGGGTGTCGTTTTCCGAAAATGATTGGTAGGGCCCAAAGGCGGCGGCCGGCCATATATGACGGGGCTTACAAGGTAGGGTACTCCCAAATCTGTTTTTCTCATCGGATTTCTGCCACTTATTTTTTCGCCCTGGTCATTGACAAGACAAACCAAAATCTAAAAAAAAAAATCTTTGGAAGTCTAGGCCCTCACCGAGCCCCATGCACAAAACGTGCAGTGATATAGGCAATAGTGTCGGAGGAATACACGCCATTCTGAAAGAGGCCCAGGCCGACTTAAAAGGACGGCTGTGCTGAAAGGGGCCAGGAACAGCTTTGAGGGCCCAAGCCGACTAAAAAAGACGGCTGCGGGGCCAGGAATGGCTTTGAAGACCCACGCAAATTGAAGGGTTCGGCATTCAAGCAACGAGTCTTGAAACACCATGATAGTTAGAAAGACTTGCTTGCCAAAATAAAAGGATGACAGTACGAGGGGCGCTCAGAAAGTTACGGGCCCCACCACGAAAGAGCAGAGAGATACAGCATCGACTCAAGTTAGACCAAAAAGTTAATTTATTCAAATAACCACCGTTAAGACAAACACATTTCGCGCAGCGCTTCGCGAGAGCCCTCAAGGTCTCCATAACCAAGTGGTTTTTGGACCCATCGGCCATCCTGCACGTCCAAGATGGCTGATTTCGTCTCCCTGCTGTCAGCGAAGTTGCCACTGCTAAATTCCTTGTGTTGGGGAAGAGGTGGCAACCGGAGTGTACAAGGTTCGGAGAAAAAAGTGGATGCGACAACAACTCGAAGCCACAGCTCACCGCTTCACTGATCGTCACCCCGCCCATGTACGCAGGTGCGTGGTCGTGGATCAGGTGCACACTTTATGTCAGCTTCCCTATAGCCTCTCCTCGATGTTTATCGAATGGACGCACACCATCAATTGTGCGCCCCTGTTTTAGAAAGTTGACGAGCAGAGCCCCGTCAGCATCCGAAAATGCAACTACTATCACCTTGCCGACTAACCTCACCTTGTTCATTGTTGCACTCATTTGGTGGCTGTTACTCGGTGTGCTCCCACTTGCGCAACTCGGTCACGCCCTTAGGGTCAATGTGCGACACCCACAATTCCTTTACGGTAACAAGATGTTAACCCTCGCACGACCAGGCCATTTCTCATAACACGAACGACCAGGGGGGGGGTTGTTACGACCCCCCCCCTGGCGTTTCGAAACGGAAGGTCGTAGAGCTTAGCGGAAAAAACCAACGGATTGCTCTCAACGAGATCTCGCGATTGGTGGTATATTTTTTGGTCCTAGGTCAACATTTGACCTACTTTTGACCGGTCAAAGGTAAAATTTTCGGAAAAATAGACTTTTTTCAACTTTCGGCGGCGATTGCGGCAAAACGGTGGGAGATATCGACTTGAAACCTTCACTATCGTGTTCCTTGATCAATTCTCTATCGTTTGGTATGTATTTCGTTTCCCTAGCTCTAAAAATGGCGCGTTGGGAGCGCCGGAAGTCGGCAAGGTCACAGTCGGCGGCAGAAATTCGAAAAATCAAAATTTAAATTTTTGAAATCTGATTGTATTTTTGGATTTGGGAGGTCCATTTGCTCCCTATAGAAGCTAATATTGCTGCATATTCCCATTGAGGTGACAAGAATTAGCAAAATAGTGGTTCGGGCGCTTTTCAAAAATAGTACCGGACGCTGTTCCTCTTGTGACGTCATAGCTCCGTGACCTGACCTGACCTGGTCAAATTTCTTATACCATATGATAGCCAATACTTGCCCCAACATGCATGGGAAGTTTCATCACGATCCATCAACCGATGTCCGTACCACCGGCAGGAAACCTCGGGCGTTGGCACTCAGTTTGTGAAAATCCGGCCGGAGGCTGTACCTCTTATGACGTCATAACTCCGTGACCTGACATGACCCGATCAATTTTTTTTCGGCAAAAGATGCGCAAAGGTTGCCCCATAGGGTATTGAAAATTTCAGCCCGCTACGACAAGCCGTTTAGCGTGCACTTCGAAAAAACCTCAGGGGGGGGGTTGATACAACCCCCCCCCTAGGCGTTCTAGGGTTAAAAGTGACATCTTCTAGATCTTCGATAAAGGGGCCAAAAATTTCGCGCTGAGCCTCCTTTCGAGCTTGCCTTTTCTCTGCAGAGTCAGCAAAGGGGGATACATCTTGCAGAGATGAGAGATCTTAAACATACTAAGACGCTGATGAATTGCTTTGAGGAATCCGATGCTTCTGCACTGCGTGCTTCCAGGCAAGAAACATTTGCCATTTTTCAACAAAAAGTGCTCATTTTTCATATTTTCTTGAGTCATAGATAACATAGGATAGATTCATGTTATCTATGCTTGAGTCAATGCTATTGATGGCTGGCCACTGCGGGGGTCACCTTCAATGATCTGTTGATCAAAATTGGACAGGATACCCACTATTTGACACTGCTGTAAGAAAGACAAACCTCGACATGTGTTGGCAGTTGTCACTAGCTTTTCGTGAATAACGCTTGCTGCCTTTTCTGCAGTACCTATACTATGAACCGAATCACTTCTCTCTTCTGGGTGTCGCCCATCCTATCCGAAATGGCAAACTATGCTACGATTAATTAGCAGCCCGAGTCAATCACAGGACAGACTTAATGGATACGTAAGTGGACATCCCAATAACACATCATTTAACACACCGCCTTGCCGGCCGAAATTCCAACTCCTTCATTGTTCGGTCCGAAAGTGTTTTGAACGCCCCTCGTAGATAATGAGCTTGAGTTTTCAGGATCTGATGCGGAAATGACCTGGCGTTGGACCCTCGGGAATCAGGCTGCATCACCCACTCAAACCAACATGCATATGGCCTATTCTGGAGCAACGCCGCACCTTCCGAAGTCGGTGTAGGGCCTCCAGCGGCTGGTGTGGAGACGGATCGGGGTCTATTAGGGGCGGTCGCGTGGTGTGCGGCACTCAGAGGCAGTTATGGACCTCTATAACCAATTGCTTTTTCGAGCCTCTTAGAATCCACCAAGGACCGGAGGCCCAAGACACGACACCTCATTGTCAGCTACATGCACCTACTATGGCTAGAACCTTATATATCTACATATGTGCTTATTTGCTTACCCGTTCATTTTGATTTTTTATCAACTGATAAGTAACAAAAGATTGGTAGGGCTCAACAAACATTGGTAGGGCCCAAATAAACATTGGTAGGGCTCGGGCCCTACCAGGCCTATACAAAACGACGCCCCTGGAGTTGCGTACAGACACATACGATTATGTAGCTAAATTATGTCCCTCATACACAGACCAGACGAGTTTGGGCGGTGAGCACAAACAGACCCCATGCAACAGTACCTTACCCACTGCCTAAAATTTCACTGTCCTGACCTCAAGACATCTTTCCACCCCAACGTTAGTCATACCCTTTTATACTTTTGGCTAAAATCTATTAATTACTCTCTGTCAAACGCCACATTCACCACACACATTAATTTGTAGAACTCCTCCTCCAGCCTGGCGATCATTGTGCGTCGACAAAGAGGGCTCCTACCCACCTCCCCTCTCCCACGAGGCCAACCGGAGCCCCGGAGACACATAGCCGCTATACGCGACAGATTTACGACTGTCGCGCCGCAAACGCCGCCATTCACAGTCCGTGGCGACAAATGGGTGACGCGGAGCAGGCGCCACCGGGCTAAAAGGCAGGAGCAAAGGGGACGAATGTCGCGGACTGTGGTGTCGTGATAAGACTGAGGTTAAGATTATAGGAATGAGCGTGAGGTCAAATGCTTCACACGGTCTTCTAGGCATGGGCATGGCCTTTGCCCTGTTTTATCTCTTGCACTTTGAAAATATTAAGAGCCGTCCAATTTCATCGAATTCATTTATGTTTTGAAGGTCTCAAACTTAAGTTAATTCCCATTTCAACGTTCACCTTTCTCGGACATTGCACATCTGCTGGAATATTCAATATGCACTACTATGCGATCATCGCTGCAGTTATAATGTGCCCGTAATGTGAGTAAGCCCCGGGGGCCCGTTGTGCGCTCAGTGCAGTGGGGGGCGGGGGCGTTTACAAAGGCCGAGCACGTGTGCTGCACAAGTGGTAAGCCGATTACCGCGCCGCCCTGGGACGGATACCACCGTAAGCATATCGAATCCCACCTCGTCGGCACACCCCGGAACGCCTGTTGCGCCTCGCTCATACTGATCTAAGGGGGAGTGAGGTTATGTGCTGCTGACCTACATACCAGACCATATATATGCAACTTATAACTTCCATGTACCAGCTGCAATATTTATTTTGAATACTTACAGTTTGGATGAGGTTTAGCCACTTGTAAGTGAAATGAATGTGTCTCGCTATGACTTTTTTTGTTGATGCTAAGAGGATTTTCATTCGCTATAACTAAACATTAACTTAACTCTGTCATTGTGCTGTTTCAACCAAAGATCGCTGAGCCGCATTCATTAGCTCCCAGCCTAGAATAGATTCAAAGTTAGCTGTGAACCACAGTCATACGTCTGCTGTGATATCTGTCAGCTGTCCTGACGCGGTGTCCAGCCACTGTGAGCCCGGTAAGGTCAGACGTCGGGAGGGTTACGCCATGCGACGGGACGCCGGAGGGGTGTCACGGGGCATCACGGGTCGTCACGGGGTGTCACGTCACGGCGCAGCGCCCTGTGCCGCTGCACTGTCCCCCAGGAGGCCAGCGGTGTCCCATTCCGCTGATTGGCCACGGGGTTTAATCGATGTCTGTCCGGCAGCTCGTAGCCCCTGTATGACAGGCCCCTGCAGATGCATGGGGTACAGACGTGATTGGTAGTGACCGACCTCGCCGGGTTGACCGGGTTATC